GAGAAACAGGAAGACGGAAGAAGAGAGGCGAAGGAGGAAGAGCAAGGAGGAGTAAGGAAGGCAGTTCTCTCTCTCTCTCTCTCTCTCGCTCGCTCGCTCGCTCTCTCGCTCTCTCTCGCTCTCTCTATCCCCTACCATAAGGGGGCGGGTGGCGCGTCGACCTTCGTCGATGGAGGGGCGGGCGCAGGCAAGTACGCCGAAAGCTTCGTCGAACGTTGCCAAAGACGAAGAATTAGCACACGTGAGAGCGATCCACTCTGAAAGAATTTGAATGATGACGAAAGATTTGAGAGAAGAATATAGCATAGTAAAAAAAAGGGATCCGGTCCCGACACTTCGCAAAATGAGGGCCTACCGCGCTCCTCTAGGCCCTGGAAAATAGGGAAAACTGGCTGTTTTCCCAATCGCCTGAATTTTCGGAGGTCGTCGTCGTTGATAAATCTGATCGGCGGCCGTCATTTCGTTTCGGCCTCCGAAAAGGTCGGACGCCTACCCGAGGCCCGCTATTTTCCAAGCGGCAAAGGTACTAGTGGTCCTGCCTGGGATGCGGAAGGCTTGATGTTATAAGGAAAATTTGCGTTATACCCCTCTAAGTTCAGATAAATGCCGAAATACCCCTAAAAATTGTGGGTAGAGCGAAATGCCCTTTTGGACTGAATTCGTTGTGATATGACCCTGTCAGACTTAGGCGCAATTTGCAATCTGCACCTCTACGTTGGCGCCTTGGCCCGCACCCTCGGTCTGCCCTCCCTACGCCAGGGATAACTTCGCAGAATACCCAGGCCCTACGCTTTGCAATCTCGGACTCTACATTCAAACATTGTAGCTCGTGGTTGGCCGCCTCACACTGGGTTGGTCTCCTTCCTGGTAAGTTCTTCCATCTCCTCCCTCCTCCTCCTCTGCCTTCCTCCAAGATCTCCTCCCTGTATGTGTGTGTGTGTATAGAATTTAAATCCAAAATTTTCAAATTTTCAATAAATATTTGTTAGAATCGATAATTATATAATAAGAAATAAAAAGAATAGTAATATTAATATATATATATAAATAATGATATATACAACATGTCTATTAGAGAATAATCAAGAATAATAACATAGAAGAATATGATACGATAAAAAAAAAAAAACATATATAAAAAATATTCTAAATAATGTGATGTTAAACCACCTGTACCTACCGGTTGTCAAGGCCCGTGGCTCAGGCTAGTGGTAGGCCGGTCATTGCCGAGCCTCGACTTTATTGCCAAGCCTCGGACAACCAGTAGTACACAACAGCAAAAAAGAAAGAAAAGAAAA